GTGGTCTACCCTAAGACCTTTGAATTTAATGAAAATACATACAGCATAGAAGTCTCTTCACTTCATAACAAGTGATCTTCATGCCTGTAGCTGAAGTCTGCTTGGCACAGCTGTGTAAGTCAGGGGTGTCAGCCCCACTCCTCCCATTTCTGGTGGCTATCAAGGCCAGCAAAAGCCTTAGTGTAGATGCTGTAATACTAGTGATAGTTCAGAGAAACACTCTTATCTCCGCAACCAAAAGAAATCTTCTGCTTGCATTGCAGGGTTTGCTGAGTTAGGTCTCTTGATCCATCCACTGGGAAATGCTATTAAGTGTAGACAAGGCCCAAATTCAAACAGAATAATAAAAGTGATTTACATTTCTCGTAAGAAAAACAAGGCTCTTCCCTCAAATGTACTGCTTCTCCTTAACAGTGAAAGATCTTCATCACACATGTCCTGCAGGATGTTGTTCTTTCTTGATATGGGATTTTGCTAGGAAGTTGTGACACACAGTTTGCCGGAGCACTTGCCAGCTGAGCAATGCTTTCACTACTGCTCACCACACTCCTTAAACATGCATGCTAATTACGTTACAGGCCGTCTGCATAGAGCTATATGAGGCTACAGTATTTTCTCAGGAACCACAGCAAAGAAGTCAGTGTGTGACTTCAGTTGTGCCAGCTATGCATCTGCTGTGACCAGAGTTTCTGTTGATAAATAATGACAACCTCATTAAGCATTCACCCTAGAGGTGTTTCTGGTGCTCAGCAGAGCTCATACTTTAAGATTATCACTGAATGCCTTTTTCAGTACCAAGGAGTTAGTGAGGAAAGTGTTATTTAAATTAGAAGAAAACTGAGCATGCATAAAAAGGGGTGTTTTTAATACCATATACAATTAAGCTGGTACACCACAAATGGCTGACCTTCAGCTGGACTTCATGTCACTGATCACAACCCTTTAAGGCCAGAAGTTCAGTCAGTTTTCAATCCACTTCATTGGCCTTTTAGCTAGTCCACACTTCATCAGTTGGTCTAAAAAGATGTTATGGGAGTCTGCCAAAAGCCTCGCCAAAGTCAAAATAAACAACATCCATTGTTCTCCCATCATCTACCAAACTAGTCATTTCATCGTAGAAATGCTGAGCATGATTTTGTCTTTGTAAATTCATGCCAACTACTTCCAGTCACCTTCTTGTCCTTCATGCGTTCGGAAATGGTTTCAAGGATTATTTGCTCCGTTACCTTTCCGGCCATCAAAGTGAGGCTGACTGGCCTGTAGTTCCCCACATCCTCCCTCCTCCTCTTGCTTTTCTGAAAGATAGAACTGAAATTTGCTTTTTTTAGTCCTCAGGGAGCCTTCCCACCACCCCAACCTGATCCTGCTGTTCTGAGGGTAAGTCTTCACTGCTCCTGACTTTCCCATGGGTCTCAGAGGCTTGGGATTCCTGAGGCACAATTTACCAGGGAAGACCAAGGTGAAGACGCCAATGAGTACCTCTGCCTCCTCCATGTCCTTTGTCACCAGATCCTGTTTTTGAACTCATCTCTGTTACAAAATACAACAGCATTTACAATTACATTAATAGGATGAAAATCACAATGACAACATTAACTCTTAGATAATCATAGGCTAAAGTCAGATAGGTACTTCTTCTTGAGACATGGTAACAACTATTTGCATTATTATGACCACTTCTCCCTCTTGTCAAAAACACCAAGTTCAGGAAACTGTCAGAAGACCTTCAAAGCTACACTGGCATTGGTCTTTTCAGCTACAGTGGCTGAAAAATTATCTTCTGAGCGCATTGTTTGGTTTGCTTTTAAGTATAAATATAAAACAATGAAGCAAAGAACAGTTCTGGAGGAAAGTAGCTGTAATAATTTACATATGCTAATTTCTGAAATCAGTGATAGCTCATTTGCACTTATAGTTTAAATACTAAAACTGCATACAGCCTGGCTGAACATAGTACAAAGAGATAATACGGGATTGCCGCAAGTGTAGAGAGGAATAGCGAAGATATATAACAGGGTGATCTTCATTTCTGGCTATGATATTAATGTGATTACTGATCGTGTCCTTTCTGGTGTCCATACTTCAGAAAGGACAGTGAAAAAGACAGAAGTGATTCAGCAAGAAACCTTAATTTTAATTACAGAAAATATATCTTGAAGTAAGAAAATAGGGGATTTTGTAAATTTTCAAGATGACCAGAACTAATCTGAGACACCCAGCTAGTCTGTTGCTGTGTGTACACAGGAAAAATATTGGATGTTAGCAGATACTGTAACCTACAGAAAAATGGCACAGCGAGTTCTGTGAGTGGAAACTAAAATTAAAATTCTGGAAATAAGAAACAGCATTGGGCATGGCTTTTCTGGGGCTTACAAGTATCACTGCTAGCCTCCATCTCCTACTCCCCACGACAGTGCTGACCTTTTGCATTCACAGTGCAGCGCAGTGGCTTATCTCTTTCTTCTCAGCATCACATGCCTGCCATGAGGGCAAAGAGAAGACATGGTGCCAGGCACAGACAGAAGGCATTTGTTTTTTCTCTGTTCTCAATCCTCGCTACAGGCATGCTACTTTCACAGGATCCACTCTCATCAGTACTTGCTGCTCCTGAACAAAATGTTAATTTATTACTGAACAGTAAATGGTGGGAGATGTGGCTATCTGTCGGAAGGATAAATTTTAGTAATTTTGTTATATTGTTGAATCCAGTGGAGCAACCACCAAGTGAATGGCCTCTGTTATGCATATGAGACTAATTATAAAGGGTCCTGTTTCACGTGAATATTTCTGTGGGGAAATACCCCCAGTGGCAAGGCTCTCCTGGAACATCATCTGGAGTTCTGAAACCTCAAGGCTTCCTGGAAACCAGATTCAAGGCCTCTAAACCTGGACATTCAAAACTGCAAGCACTCAAATGCCCTGCCTGCTGCGTAAAGCCCGGGCCTCATGCTTGGTCATATTGAATTATCTGGGACACTCGGGCAAAGAGGTGTAAAAGAGCTCTGTTGGAGGCAGGGTGTTGACCAGACGTGTGCAACTCGCAGATAAAGAAGAGAGCGCTACCTCATTCTGCAATGTGTCTGAGGAAGGGAAGCCAGCCATGATCCCCCTGCGCTTCAGTTTCCAGTCACTGACCAGGCTTTGCTCATGCATCTTCCAAAGAATGCAAAGAAGTCCAAATATTACAACCTACTGACTTCATAATTAAATAGACTTTAAGGCTCAAAGTTCCTGTGAAGGTCATCTCATATGACGTCTGGTAGCCCTGTATTGATCCCTGTGCCAACAGATGTAGATGGACCCACTCTAATTCTGTTTTTCTGGGGGTTTTGTGACTGTGTTTAAAACAGTGGCTAGCCATTGAAAACGGATCATATAAAGGCACAAATCGGGCTCCTCTATGCTATGGAGCCCCCCCCCCCCCAAAAAAAAAGCTCTCTGTTGCTTCTCTGCATGTACTAAAAGAGCAAATCATAGTGCAGAGGCAGCTCCAGGTGTTTGGTGCTGTGACTGGTCTCCTGTGACCAACCAGCTGCACATTTCTCAACGTTTCTAACGCCAAAAAAATGTGCCAGCCCTTGGCTCTCCGGTCAGTTGGGGAACCAGCTTGGAAGGGCCCAGGAGGATGACGGGCAGGGAGGGGGCCAGGTTTGGCCTCATAGCAGAGCCCCCCAGAAAGTCGGATTTCCACCAGACCCCAGAGATACCAAAGGCTGGCCCTTCATAAGGCTGGAAGCACAACGGTTTTTGGGCCGTGTCGCAGCCGGCCTAAAATCCCTTGGGCAGCCCCGCCACACCCCGCCGGCGCGGCCGCCTCAGGGCCGCCCCCACGCCCGGGCGCG